GCTGTAGTTCTATAGATATATTGCTCTGACACACTGTACCCCAAAGTAACACCCTGGCAACCCCAAATTCACCACTGTTATATAATTGCAACAAAGCTTGTACACAATATGTCATGTGAGGTGTCGATGGAAAGGTTATGGTTTGCTGAAGATGATTATCCTATCTGTATTCATGTCTCATTTTTGTATATGAAGTTACGAATATTGACTATGTACCTGTATGTCAGATGTGTTTGCTTCTGTTGTAAGTCCCACCAGGTAGTTTACAACTGGTCTAGCCAGCACATTGGGAATGGACTATTCAAGTTTATGGCCCGTCAATGAACACAGTGGGCCATGGAAGAAGCTAATCCACACATGATGGACTTTTCTGAAGATGTTCTAGCTAGAATATGGGTAACAGCCCCTGTTATGACTCATTGAAACATGCAGGGCATGTGACCAGCTCCTGTGACACCGGACTCCATCTTGCCCCTGAACATCTCCACTAACTGTGCTAGGATCTTTGTTTGGGACAATGAAGTTCCCTCTGTATGGCAGAAGCTATGAAAGGGAGAACAAGCGTCACCAGTTGGTCTCACTCCCCCCACAATGGAACACCTGAAAACACAGCTAGAGGGAAAAGGCTTTGACTGATGAGGGTGAAAAGGAGAAATCCCAGAGTGTTTATGGAAGATTGGTGAACTGTTGGAACCATCAGGATGAGACACTGCTTGATTCAAATCCTGTCTAGCTTACAGAACTCAGATTACAATTTTGCTTTATTTCTTAGGTAATCTACTTTGAGCTGTATGCTATTACTTCGAATCACTTAAATCTATCTTTCAGTAGTTCATATCTCTGTTTTTTTTACCAAAAACACAATTTTTTGTTTGAAGTGTGAAGGGAAAACTGTTCCGGGGCTGGTGCATTCTCCTCTCCACTTTGAAGGAGGGACAGACTGGGTAATAAACTTACACTGGTCAGGTTTCTGACCAGGACAATATGGTACAGTTCTGAGATCCTAGGCTGGGTATATTTGGGGAAATTGGCTGGAGCCTCTTTATTGTTGGCCCCTGAGTGACTGCTAAAAACATTCATGTAACTCTGCTGGGCGTGTCCCTTCCTGAGACTGTTTGTGTGAGTGCAGGACCTGCAGGGGTTTGCAGCTTTTCACATTATCACTGTGTGAGAGGGTGCCCAGACTGGTATGCCAGAGGGCTCAGCGGTGCTCCAGTTCCAGGATGCACCCTGTGGAAGTCCGTCACAGTGGTGCAGCGAGCAGTGTGAAATGCACAACTTGTTGTTCTGAGAGAGATTTGCACTTGATACACTGGTGTGGAGATTTTAAGTAAGATGTTAAGTGTGGTGGCTGGAGGTCAGTCAAAGTGGTTACCAGTTTGTTCCTTCCTGTTTCTTATTTTGGGAAAGGGAAGTAGGGACAGAAAAGCAGTAAGATGAGGGAAAATAGTGAAACAATTGTGAAATTGGAGCTATTCAGATTGCAGGCAGTAGAAAAAGAAAAATAGCATCGGAAAATTTTGGAGCTAAAGCAGAGAGACGCTGCCAGAGAGGAGGCTGACCACAGGAGGGCTATCGAACCAAAATAACAAGAAATTGAGGAGAAAGTGGGAGATTGGAAACACCAATTGGACTTGCTGGAAAAGTAGAACCAGAACCCTCCCACTGCACTGATTCCCACCTCTCCAAAAATCCACAGATGGGAACAGCTGTGTCCTGCATGCAATGAGACAGGTGATATTGCTGAATACTTCACTACCTTTGAAAGGCTTTGTGTGTTTCATAAGATTCATAAGTATACACTTGGACTGAGATGGAAATAGGAGACAGACTTTTTGAAAGTCTCTGGGTAAAGATAAAAGGGGTAAAAACCAAGGATGCTGTCATGTGTGATAGGGCAGGGCAGGGAGCCGAGGGAGAGTGATAGAGGGGAGATATATAATCCCTAGCCTAATTAAGGCGTGGTTCCCTGTAGACTAGGGAGGGTTGCTACAGGTTAATTAGAGCACCTGTAGTCAATGAAGGCCCCTGCCACGAATCTAATAAAAAACCCTGCTTCAGGCAGACAGGGTGGTGCGAGGAAGGAGAGAGGACTGGAGTTTGGAGGTGTGTTGCTGACAATTGAAAGGTCATAGAAATGGAGGAAGGGAGACCCTTCCCCAGTACCAAGGACTGAGGGTAACCCTACCCAAGAGGGAAGAGGGTAATAAACCCGCAGGGGTTGAGAGGGGCTGGGGCTCAGAGTGAGGAGCAAACTCAGACCCCTCCCCCGCTTCCCTCCTCTACCACCTTCATGGGCCATGAGCGAGGTCCTTTGTGCCCCAAGAGCAGGGGCAAGGGCTGGTGTCCTAGCCCCCCCGCCAGGAAAAGCCTGGGACCCATCATACAAATATCA